GCTTTAGAATCTAAATCGGCGCTGTGACTATTTCAAAAAAAAAATCATACCAACACCATAGAAGTATCAAACTATCCTTGATAACTGGAAAAAATCCTTCGCGGCTTCATGAAATAACTTAGAGAGAATCGTATTATTAACACAATGATTCATATAATGCCGATTTTAGGATAAAAACGCGGTTTTCTTGAACAAATGCGAGAACTGGCTGGTGAGAGGAAATTTATCAAATTAAGAATCACTTTGCTCACAGTTTAGATTAACATCTTGAAGGCCGTGAAAGCACACGTTGCTCTTACCTTACCTCACCTTTTCTATTCTATTAACGTTGAGGGTAACTTGTACAAGGTTTTACATTGCATCATTTAGGTCAGTTGCGTTTATAAGCAGATTTACGGCTCTTTAAGTGAGAGCCACTCTTGATACATTACTGCAACCTTGCCGTAGGTCATTAAGGAACCCAGCAATAATTATTTCCAGATTTTGCGTGTCATGACCTCACCCATAACCCCATAAAAGCTTTCTCTGGATTCTCAAAACATGGTTGCTACAGACACTTACAGTACCTGTACAGTAAATGTTACCATATAATACGAATATATTATTTGGAGCCAGCATGTCCAAAACTCTTTGTGCATGTCATATTAATTTAATTAAGCCGATAGGCAAAAGCAGTGTGTGCTCTCACAGTCCTCAATGTTGTTTCAGTCTTAGCCTTGAAATTGTCATTATCTGTAACTATCTGATGCACTCGTAACGTTAACACTTGGAAGGATGCAATAAGATAACAAAGAGGAAGACGCATCTTTAATGTAGATTTCAATCGGCATCCTCATATTCAAAGAGGTTTTCATTACGGTAGTAAAAGACTCGGGGATCGCGATGTGTGCCACAAGAGACTTCAAATGAAATAGTAGTGTTAATGCAGGCTTCACTCCTCCACAGGTACCTGAGTAAAAAAACCTTAAGAGAATTGAAGCATTGAATCTGAACGATATTAAAAGCCAAAAAATATTGAAAAAGCAGTGTACAAACCAGTCTTTTCTTCTTCTCTCCAGATTATATGTGTAAAACATTGAACATTGATGGTTCCATTGCGGTTTTTTGGTAACGATGGTTGTCTCTTCGGATTCCTCGCAGTTTAGTCCACAATATATACGAGTAACGTTGGCCTATACGAAGATATTAGTGCTAAAGAAGGTGCAAACCCTGAGCAGGTACA